AATCCAAATGCTCCCTGTTCTACCTGTGATAAAAGTGAATCTAAGTGCCAGGAAAAGACAATAAATGAATTCCCACCCCTGGAGTGTCCCAGGCCAGGCTGGAGCAACCTGGGCTAGTGGAAGGTGTCCCTGCCCAAGGCAGGGGGGGGCACTGGATGGGCTTTAAGGTCCCTTCCAGCCCAAATCATTCCAGGATTCCATGAGGCACAAGGGAAACATGTTAAAAATAAACAAGAATGAGGGTTCATGTAGAAAACAACATTACTCCTCAGCCTGTGAAAATCATCTGCATCACTTCACAGAGAAACTGAGCTAAAATATTAACTTTTAAGGGTAGAAGTGAACAGAGAATCATGGAATGGTTTGGGTTGGAAAAGACCTTAAGGCTCACCCCATTCCATCCCCTGCCATGGGCAGGGACACCTTTCACTGTCCCAGGTTGCTCCGAGCCCCATCCAACCTGACCTTGAACAATTCCAGCAGTTCCACTTCTTTGCATCCAAAATGATCAAATGTTGTGGAATACAGGCAAAAATAAAATAATTTCTGTGCCCTCCAGGCACTTTGTTACTGCAAGTCCCTCTCTCAGTCCCTGCACAGAAAGCTCAGCTGAGCTCCACAGTGAGCTCAAGGAAGGATTTAGAGCCCGAGTCTGCAGTGAAATTAAACCAGGCTCAGTTCCACTGAAGCATGAAACAGCCTGATGTGCACGAGGAAATATTTCCAGTTGGGTTTATGGTCTGTCCCAGCACTTGGGGGAGGCTGGTAAATCCAGCACAGCTCGAGGAGCAGCTGGGAACTGTTACCTGACTTGGGCTCTGCAGCCACTTCCCCCTCAGGCTCTTTTTCTGCATTTCTCTCGTTTTCTCCTTCTGGAACTTTCTCTGCTTCCTCAGTTTCAGCCTCTGCTTTGTTTTCCACCTAAATGGGATGAAAGATTGGTTGGAGAATGTCAGACAGAGAAGACATTCCCTGTTAACCTCGTTTATAGTTTTCAAATTAATTCATTACCATTAATGAAGAGATTAAACTGTGAAGGTTGGCTGCTGCTTAAGCCAAGTTTGACAAACATAACCCAAATCTGAATAAAAGTAAATGTCAAACTGGGCAGAGTCTGCCAGGTTTGGTGACCCAGGCCAACCCAAGCTACTCTGCAGGTACAAGAAATCCTGAACTAAGCTGGTGGAATCATGGAATGGCTGGGAATAATGCAGCTTTCCAAGCCCTGAGAGTCTGCCACACTTACATCTCCCCAAGTGTAGCTGGCTGGCAGAGAGGCAGCAGCAGAACTACCTGGAAACAGTGAGAGGGAGCCCCAGGGCTGCAGTAATCAGCCTCAATAGCTGTGTGCTAGCAGGCATTATCAACAGGCTGAAGGATAGTGATAATGAATTAATTTGATAATGATAACTGATGTCTAAATATCTGATCTTTATGGGCAGGCTGGATCATGCCCAGCATCAGAACACAAACACACATCCACGTCCAAGGGTCTGCCCAGACCTCCTGCCAGGAGCAGTTTCCCTGAGCAGCTCTGGAGGCACCTCAGACACAAATGGTGGTAAAACACTGACTATCCCAAACTCACCACTTCCTGGAAAGCCTTGATGGGAAGGGAATTTGTCAAGGATCTGCCAGAAAAACTTTTCCAGAGCAAAGAGCTCAGAGTGACACTTTCCTCAGACCACACTGCAGGTCATGAACCACAACGGGCCAACATCCTCCTGCAGCTTAAATCTCCCATTCCTCCAATCTCCCATTCCTCCAATCTCCCATTCCTCCAATTCCAAAATCACCCCATTTACATTTCCTCCCAGTCCAACCTTTCTCCTCAGGACCAGGGATCAACACACTCGTATCTCATTGCTTTGGTTTGAGATTAATTCACTCTGTGGAGCTGAGGACTATTCCCTATGGACACACTGACCAGCACATGATGCCCACCTGCCTTCCCAGGCTCTCTAAAACACGAGGATTCAGGTTTTCAGTGCCAGAAGTCTCTTTCCAGCAGCAGTGCAGACCCACTCACCTTCTCAGCCTGCTGCCCTTCTGCCTCTGTTTCCATCTTTTCCTCTTCAGCTGCATCTGAGAAAACAAGAAGTGAAATATTTAGAACTGCTGTAAGATCCATTATCACTCAGTATTTATCCCAGGGTTAGCTCAGATTTTCTGGTCTCTAACAGTGGTTTCAAGAAAGCCACAGCACTAAACTCCTGGAAGGCTCAAAGCTTATGACACTGGCTTTAGTTTATAAATGAAGTTTACTTGTAAATTTAAATAGAACTGGGTTTTCTGCTCAGTCCAGGACAGAACATTAAGTTGCTTGTTTAAATTACCAGTGCTCTGCTGAAGCCCCCAGTTCACCCACAGAGAGAACCCCCCCTTGAGCTCCACAAAGAGCATGTGGATGTCCTGCTCTGCAGAGTTCCAGTCCCACACAGTTCCCGTTGGTAAGTCACAGTACCAGAAGATGTTTTCCCCAACACAGACAGTTTGATCCCATGGATGGCTGTCAGTATGTGATGATCCTCAGTGTCAGTGCTGCCAGCCCTGGAATTGCTCCTCAGCACAGGAGCCCTGAGGTGCTGCCAGGGGGGTCTGTCCCGAGGCACCAGCACAGGCTGCACGTCAGGGAAGGTTTAAATCCCTTTTTGCAGGTGCTGCAAATACCAGAGTTGTCCAACACAGACTTCAAAATAATTTTTCAACACTGGAGAGGCATCAAGAGTTCAGGGTTGGGCAGGGCTTGGAGCCAGCCCTGGGCTCATTCAGTGAGTTATTGCTTTCTAAAACACTTATTTGCAATGTCCCCATAAGGAGAGTTGGTCTCTGAGATCAGGGGATGACAACGAGCCCTTTGATGGGGAACACCATGAAGGTGTCTGGGTAATGCACTGCTATTCCTCATATTTTCTTGGATCAAAGTCCAAGAAATCCCAATTTATTCCAGCTCTGCAAGAAGGAACAAGAGGGAAGTGTCAGCACCACCTTGTAGTCCTGGCCCAGGATGTTACAATTTATGCCCAGGGCATTAAAGGAGCTTACTGAGCTCCTGGACTCGCTGTGGAACTGGTGGTGACAACCCCTGATCCATCTCTAAGCTTCTGAAGACATCAGCTGCTGCTGGTGTTCATTTTTAGTAATCCCCATTTCCCTGCTAATTCCTGTGGGCTACACTGAGGGAAAACAATAGCAATGATCCTGCAGGGAATTTCTGACAGAAGTCCCTTCTATATATAAGAAAAACAGACTAAAATGTCTGACTGAACGACAGTGCTTTTCCTCTTGGCTTATTTTAGGATGATAAACCTACTAATCTGAACTATCTGCCACCATAATTCAATTTAGGGACACAGTTCCTCCCAAGTTTTATCTCAGAGTTAAGATTTAGTGACCTCATAATGTCACAGGGAAAATCTCAAGTAGATTTTGTCAGACAGCTCTTTCAAGCCTAGGAGCAGAATTCCAAACTGGGCTTAAAAGTGTCATCCCTCCCAGTAAGTGGGAGAGAAGGATTTACAGAGAAAGTTGGATCCAATCCTCGAGCAAAAAAAAAGAAAAGAGTGGGGACGAAGTGCAGAACAGTCTGAGTGTGTCTGGGTTGGTGGAGGGGAAGGTGCTGAGCTCAAACCACACAAACACTGTGCAGAAACACCAGAATGAAAATTCTGGTGGGGCTCAGCACTAACACCAAGAGCTTCCAACATTCCTGGTGTTGGGATATGGAGTAACTGAGAGAAAAAAGTCTGTAGCTGTGTAAGCAACCCAAACCAACCCCAGGGAGAAGGGGAGAAGGGCTGAAGTTCTGCTTCACTCGAGGCTCCAAGCCAGGTGGAACAGGCCAGGGAAGCTCCTGCCTCTGCTCCCCCTCCCACTCTGAACTCAGCTTTGGGTGGGGTGGGTTTGTTTTCTGACCACGACACATCTGCAGAATTCCAGGCTGGACTGGGTGGGAAGGGACCTCAGAGCCCATCCAGTGCCACCCCTGCCATGGGCAGGGACACCTTCCACCAGCCCAGGTTGCTCCAAGCCCCGTCCAACCTGGCCTTGGACACTTCCAGGGATCCAGGGGCAGCCACAGCTTCTCTGGGCGAATTCCCAGACCAGTTCATGGATATGGGCAGAGCTGTTAAGGGGCTGATGTTGCTGAGGTGGAGAAAGCTCACAGAATTCCAGACTCCT